GTTGATATTTTTCGACCTGTTTCTCCAATTTATTTTTTAGCACAGCTGCACAGTATAGTGAACCTATGATATTTTGATAATTAGAATTCTTTGAGAAAAGAACTGAGGTGAGATGTATTGATCCTTGATTAATCGATTCAGGTTGAGAGTGATATTGGTTTGAAAGCTAAGGAATTAATATTCATTAATCTATATATAAGGAATATCGAATACAGTGCAATAAAGTAACTTTTGGTAGGTTCACATAATCTTAAAGCACCGGGAAATAAAAATTACCATTAAAAATTTCTATCAGGAATCAAAAAGATTTAAATATTTTTCATGCTTCTAAAATCTAGGCAAAATTTTATATTTAAAGTAACAGTGATATGGATTTAGCACTTTTAAAGATTGAAAATATTTGTCAAAGAATAAAAGCGACTTTACTTATCAAATGGGAAATTTTACCGTTTTAATATACGTAAAAGATAGCGAATAAAATGTGACGAAAACAGTTTTCTGTAAAGCATGCAAAATCTATTTTGAAATCCCATTACATTATCGAGATTATTGCTGACTGCTGACTGAACTAACTTCAATTTTACCCAAAAAGACAAAACGAGAAAATTTTAACTGCCCTTTAAAACCGTCGAATATAAAGAGATATTATATAAGAACACAATAAATCTGGATAGCAATATAACTCCGATCATCGTTCTTTTCGCTTGCGGCGGGCGTTTCGCTGGCGGTTTCAATTTTTCCAATTCTTTTTCAATGGTTTGCTTTCAAAGGCCAAACTTGGCAAGATCTTGATAAAGGGCTTCTATAAGTGAGAATGGCGCGAGAATAATATCGTAAACTTTACAAATTCCATTTGGAATTGTGACTTTTATGTTCTCGGAAAGCCGATTTGGGCACTTCAGTTCTTATTGTTGCGGAAAAAGGACCCCGCTGTTTAATTCCTCTTATCTGTTTTATGTAACCTTACTAATTAGCTAATCCCTGTCTTCGAGTATTCTTGGTGCAGAGAACTAATAAACCCTAAAACCTCTGATGATTTCTGTCAAATAATTGCTCCCTATTTATCTTTTGTAGTTAGGTTTCAGGTTTTAGTTGTAGAGAATAATTTTTAAGTATAAATTTCTTTGAACCGTTGATGACTCTTTAATTATCAATTTCCTATTTTGACTTCAGAATTATCACGTTAAAATATGTGCAATTATTGGTATCTACAACTTTTGCAAATAAAGTTGAGAAATATTGGGTTGATAATTATACACATTCATAGGAAGTGCAGTTGTAAAATGGAGCGTACGAAATATTATTAACAGTTTAAATTCAAAAAACACTTTGACGAGACCATTTTTAATGAAATGCAAAAAAATGCTTCAAGGGAATAACTAGTGCTGCGCTGTGTGAAGCCTTGTAAAAATAATAATAGATCTTTTCACTATTTTACGAATGCAGCGGGACGGCATCCAAAAAGACATCATTCGTTAGAGTCTCTGTTGAAACAAACCTTTTCTGCAGGTCATGTTGCTCGCAAGTTGATGTGTAGTTTATTGCGAATTATGATTTGTTATAATATGCGCATCATCCATATTACGGAACATAAACAAAAGTAGAAGGGTTAAAGTGGTCCCTCGTTGACGCTTTCAAAGTTGCCTTTCTCATTCTCTAGTCTTCCTGTGCACTCCTAAGCATTGAAAATATGAAAAGTAAGAAACAGTGCAATCAAGGAGACCGCAAATTATTCGATCTAATCTTAAGAAATGAGCCGTTTTGCCACAATTAAATGATCAATGTCCATATCTGTACTTACGCACACGTTTTGATTTTAGTTAGTTGCGTCATTTCTGGTGCTGCGCCGTTTGTATGGAGGATATATTTCCACCTTCCTTGTATATTAATGGCAATCTTAACAAATGACTTTTGCTGCGTCTTTGACACCCATGAACGTCAAGTATCATATTTTATACAATGTCATCAAGGTAAGGCTGCATAGCACGGAGATCTTGCACATTTGTAAATTATTTTTGCTTTTTATCTTTTTTTACATTTTTGCTTTGTTTTATTTTATAAAGTAAACTAAAATAAAGAATGGAAAACTGTCAACTCATCATAAACCATTATTATCATATAATCATATCGTCATATATCATATTATCAAATAAATTTTAATTCAACGAAGTCTTCATGTCTATTTTGGACACACTGTATATTTCATCAAACGAATTATTTTATTGTAATATAATAAGCAACTGACATTCTGCAATTGATTTTAACCTCCAGAATTGGGATTTTCCGATGTTATGCGGAGACTTTTCATGCAAACATATTTTTTATTTTTAAATTTACTATTCCGTTAACTAAACAAAATTGTATGTAGATTAAGAAATTAAGTTTACCCGATACAAATATCACCGATATCGACTTTTTTAAAGTTTATTTGCAGTTCTTAACTCAGTTTTGATGAAATTTGCTATCATGCCCGAATTTTCCGATGACACAAAAGGGTAGCCATAATTGGACAATAAGCCAGGCTCATTACTCAAATATTCAGAATTCTCTCGGATAGTCGCATGTAAAAAATAGACAGTTTTTTTGTGGATTTATGATATCAAGTTTCATTTACTTTCTGCTCTGTGCCACATTTGTAATTTATTTGTTTATATCAAATGCGCATTTTTCAAGACAATTTATTTGTCGTTTATTTATTGATTTATTTAAACAACAGACTGTTTGTAGCACAGCAATTATGGAGCGACAAAAATTAGTATTAATTATTAATAGCACAATCATCTTGAACTGACATTGATATTGAAGGTTAGCCTGTTCCGAAGAGTATAAAGCCTGATATTTATTATCTTATATATAAAAAAAATCAAAACCCTGCGTTTGGGACTTCGGAAGATTGCAAACAATAATAGCCCAATTCGACATTATCAGAGTGTCTTGGTCTATTGACGTTTCAATAGTATAGTTATACTAAAGAGCCTTTGTCTAACTCTCGATTCGATCCACGTAATCGTGGAACCAAGCGGTTGACAAATAATCCAGAACACCTCCTACCATATATTGTATATAAAGATGGATGGATGGATTCTTAAAGCCATCAGAATAACTCCTAAATTATGATGATACCCCCCATGTAAGACGCGAACACCAGTCCAGAATATCCCTATATCTTTAACATATTTAACACGTTTTAATTATATATTGGTTAGGTTTAGAAAAAAATATGTAGTGACTTTATCAATATTTAGATGAAGTGCAACAGAGCACAGTACACAGAAAATACATGTGTTTAAATCTGTCTAAAATTTTACTAAAGGCGAATTAACGACTTTAGAAATCAAGTCGTGAGCATCATTTTTGGGCTGCTAATATTTTATTTTTCGTTTTTCTAACATCTTTGACTTATTTGAAATTTTAAAAATTTTCGAATGTTTTTTTTTTCGTGTCTTGTAGCGACTGGTATACCGAATGATGATACAAAATTGTCGAGAAATAAAACTTTTGCGCTATTAAAGAGATTATGTACTTTTTCAAAGAAACTTCCACAGGCTCGGTAATACTTTTTACAAAACTTCTGGATTTCTCCTGTGTCGGTTTTTGCTGAGTCGAACTGTTAGCTTCTTCAGAGCTTGACTGAAACTGGTTCGAATTTTACTCTGTACCTGCTTATACATTGTTTGAGGGGGGGCGGAGCTAAATGAGGGACATAAACACCGTCTCAGATGCCTGATTCCCATATCGGTGACGGGTAAAGACCTGAATCACGGTTAGGATTGTTAGATTGTTTATTGATTTTTATAGACTCTCGGATTTTTCTTTTGTCGAAGAATTGATTACATGCAACTATTTTAGAAACTAATAATAACCTTCCATGCTTTGATATTCTTACCAATAGGAAACTAGACCTAAGATTGGGTCATTGTGTTTACAGAATACCTACCCACACAGACCGAACACCTTACGTCTGCTCTTATCTCTAATAATTTCCACATTAAAAATGTGGAAATTATTAGAACGCTTAATTTCCATCACAAAATACACTTCACCACAACCTTCCAATAGCAAAGAGGCCGAAAGCAATTCTATACTTGCCACTGTGGTCCTTCCTTACATTCAAAACATCACTGACCACATGTCAAAAGTTCTAAAGAAATATAACCTCACAATCAGATTTACGACTTGTCCAAAAATATCTCAACAACTTCGATGCGTCAAAGATAAAATTCCATTTAAGTTGCCAGGAGTTTACAACATTCCATGCATATGCGGCAAAGAATACATTGGAGGGACCGGACGAAAAATATCAACTAGGCTCAGAGCCTCAAAACTAAGACGAATAAATTCATCAGCAGTTGCCGAACACAACCGGACATAAAATTCTATTCGATAAAACTAAAATTCTCTGTCTCCACAACCTAACAATCTTAACCGCGACTCAGATCTTTACCTGTCACGAATATGGGAATCACTCATCCGAGACGGTGTTTATGAACTTCATTTAGCCAACAGGATGATTGGCGAAACGTTAGGATGTTCGACTCAGCAAAAACCGAGGCAGGAGGAATCCAGAAGTTTTGTAAAAAGATTATGTACTGTTTGAGAACCTCCAAGCTAATGTGTTAGTAGCCAAAGAAGAAGTTATAGACACATATCTCCAAGTCAATCTCAATCAAAATAACTTTGTTTCTGGTTGGAATTGGAATTGTTGGAACTGTTTCAAATATATTTATTTATTCATTTAATAAAACTGTTGGATTATAGCAATTCTTATTTCTATTTTTTTAATTTTAATTTTCTATTTCTAATACAATACTTTGTTTAAAATGCCGTGTTAAAGCACACGTTTTTTAAAATAATCACAGAGACAAATCAATACAAATATTTCCTACATTATTATAAAACGCAAAGGATGAATTATTGTTTTTTTTGGTAAATTGGAGATCGGTGAAATGGAACTGCTTCACAAAATTCAACTTATTTCTAAACTTGAAGTTCCTTTATTGTTATTTGAGGTTAGGATAAAGGGAATGAGATATAGTATTCACTGGGTTGTTGGACACTTGCCTGATTTGTAAAATACACCGCCATCTGGTAACAAGGTAAACAATCGCAATCGCCTTGCTCATAGCTCGATCGATAGCCTAAAAAAACATTTTTAAGGACTTCAATTTTATTAAAAATCGTTAAAGGCGTTTGGAATTGTCGAGATTTATATTCGAAAATATTAGAACATCCGTCATAACTTTCCCTTCAGAGATAGACTAATGAGATTTAAATAAAAAGATTAGAGTTTGTCCCAGGTTTGCACTAGTACTCACGCTGACTATCGTCGATGTAAGAATATTTTGCAGAAAAGGGGCTTTAAAATTCAAGTCAACGGGTTTCCGGTTTCCATTTAAGATACTCAAAAATAATTTACAACATTTTCTCTTCCCTGATTTACTTGACCTTGCAGGGACACCCGGTGCTGGCGTGAAACACACCCAACAAAATTCAACGTACGTATCTTTGTTCTCAATGTCGTTTTCGATGGCGTCCAGTAAATGCTTGAATTTGCCCATAGAGTCAAACAAGCCTAAAAATAAATCTTGTAGGTGCATTATACTTTTAATTATGTTAAATTGAGATGACCTAAAGTTTAAAAAAACAACCCCAATCCTCTACTACTAAATTTATTAGCAGAAATTTGACGCAACAATATTTAAAAAACAATTGCTATGTTTTAAAGTCAACGCGTAAAATCCAGTAACGGGCACGGGCCGATTGTACTATTAATGTGGACCCATCCCACCTGATACGCCATTTGTTTTTACTCTGAAAAAAATCGAAATAAAGAGACACGGGGCAAATGTAAAACGCATGTGAATAGTATGGTATTGTACAGTTTTTAGCAGGTTTTATGTAGAATTAGCTATTATAATAACCCGTTACCTTGGGCAATGCTCCGAGGTTTCGCCGGTTGGAAAAATTCACCTGCTGAAACAGATCGGATATCTGTGTTTATAAATTCATCTTTTGTTTCGTCAACCAGGAACTGTCTGTAGTTAACCTGTCCCGATTTGAGCACCAAACTCGCTATCAAATCGCTGAAAGTGACAATAAAGTATAAGGACCGCTTTTAGGAATTGATTTTCGGTAACCAAGGTTGTTATGCGGGACGGGAATTTCCAAATTTCCGGCAAAACTTGTTTCACGCGATTTTAAATACTGCACGTTGTCCTAAGCTGGAATTTACCTCGGATAGTTGTCGATCGCTTCGCAAAATGTCCGGCCATTTGAACATTTCGGAGACTGTCCCGGAGGTGCGGGTAGAAACTCTTTGGATGCGCATTGAGCAAATAAAACTACTTCAACAATCATCAAAAGCTGGAACACGAGAAAAAACAAAAGTGCAAACAACCAAGGTGCTTGGGAAATAGTCAACACTACATCAAAAATAATATATTGGTTATCATATGTTATAACTCAAATAATTTTAAATTTAAATGATTTTTTATTCCTATAATTAATTCAAATTAAATCCAAAGATGTCGTTAACCCGTACGTATTCTCCACATTCCGATCATATCTTAAATCCTACTTCGCTGAATAATATTCGAGGTCTCGTCCGGATTCAAGGTTGAATTAATGCAAAACAGTCACCGATTTTCAATTTACTTTCTCCTACAACGCGATGAAAAGTAAAAGTGTACTTACGACGGTCATTGTACAAGTCATGCTGCCTTTTATGAAGCAACTCCCACTTTTCCGAAAGAACGCTCTATTCGTACTAAAACAATCGATTTTGAGTCTCCAACTTTTTTAAACTCGCGGCCGACCTTGATTAAAACAACACTGTCGTTTGTTAATGTCTGGGCTTACGTTTCGTTTGTGATCTGTAGTTTCTATAACAATATCTGTGCACCGCGAAACGACGTACCTCTAAAGCCTAGTCCACATTCGAACTACTGTTTCTGTCTAAAAGAAAGAGGGGGAAATATTTATTTGATTTTTCCAATTTGCCGTGGGGGTCCACGCCCTATTAGTGAGTGCTGTAAAGTGGAACTGAAGATTCTTTATGAAAAAACAAAAAGACTCTCCCTAAATAAAATTTTCTTCATTTTCAAAGTTAAAGTTTAAAAAAAAATAAAATTCGACTTTAGTAATTTTAAAGTTACTTGATTTTTTTTTATTGATTTTTCACAGTGTATACGAACATTAGGAAGAATTATGTCATGCAGATCAAGGGAAAAGGAAAATCAGTGGCGTAGTTAAAGAAAGCAACTGATTTTTTTTTTAATACAATTTCGGTAGGTCAATGGTGAAATTATGTTTAAATCATATTAGGAAAAGCCTAAAGACAAAAATATGTTCCTTTTTGTTATTAATATACTATGATGATGATGAAGTACCTTCCTAAGTTAATAAATGATAAAACGGTTAATAAAATAACTAGTTCTGTAAAACTTATTGGTAGCAAAAATGGATTTGTCAGTGGTGCTTTAATAACAATGCGATGAAAACGGACTGGAGGCTGTCATGAAACGTGAATGTTTTCAAAGACTACATCCAGCATATGTTAGATCTTATTCCTTCTGGGTGTTATAGGCCTAAAAAACCACTCACGTCTTGTTGAACAAAAAATGACTTGATTCATTGACTTACTTTAAAAAGAAGCAATTTCGGAAAGATATTAGATATTAGAATAAGCCTCTTTGTACGAAATTTGTTGTCACCGAAAACTAACGAACGAAGTTGTATTGTAAATAATCTATACTTAAAAAAAAATATTTATTAGAATTTATTATATATTATGTTATTCTCATTCTGCATAAGTTTTTATTTACGTGTTTTAAGAATAATGAACATCGTAATTATTTGCTAATATCTATAATCATGTATAATTATAATTATATCTATTACTGTTATAAATTATAGTTCGCCTAACGATATACCATTTCTACGGCATAATCCGGTATTTAACTTTGGTGAGTTTTTATGAAGGTCTAACCGCAGGCCTACCTCACTTGGGTTTTTCTTTGTAACCTTCAATAAATAGAATCGCAATTCCATAATGACGTTCCAGAACCGAACTTCGGTACTTCGTGCATACAAATGCCAGAAGGTGAAGGATTTGTGTAGAGTTTCATCAGTCAGATTCCTCGATGCACTAAAAACTCCATTCTTACTTTAAAATGTTTATTATAAATATAAATGAAGGAGTGAATTTTGCTATAAAACAATGGTAGAATATTTATATATGGTACTTCAATGAAAATGGCCCACTGAGTCTTGAAAAACAATTGAATAACAGTAAGTTGGTGATTACTAATTACAAACACAAGACGGAATATAAAGAACTCGCGCCCCACAAATCAACCAATAGCAAACTGCGAAAACATCCATTATTAATCAATCTAATGTATTTATAATATAGGAGATCAACCACCTAATGAACAAATTCAACTTAAAATTAAGCTACCTCAAATAGGGACTGTTCTAGGAATATTAACAAAAACTACACTAATACGAATTAATAGAATTAATATAACAGATCAACGGGGGTCCATTTTGATTGCAACTTATGAATTTAATTTTTAAAATAAAAATGAAACTTGTGACTAGTCATTCCGATCTTCTGAAATGATAATAAAATTAATAATATAATATAGAAGACAAGTGTCAATCAATAATAAGCAATAATGAAGAATCAAGGCATAAATAGGCTACACTTTATTTAAAATACCTAAAAATACGCCCAAAAAAAGTTTGCCAATACAATATTCTGAAAGCTATTAAGCTGTAATTATATAAACTAAGGTTTCGAATAGACAATAATGAAAGTATGGGAGCAAGCACCTGAATTTCTCTGTGAAAATATTAATGTAAAGGAACAAATACTATAAAACTGCGACGTTAATAAACTCGAACGAAAATTCATGTCATGCATGGACCGAATTGAATGAGTGTAAATTGTTGGCAGTGGGCTTGTACTGTTTGTCACGCAGTGAATCTATTGTGACCGATACAAAAACAAATTGACATAGCAAAAACCGTTGATTGTCTCACCAATCAGGGACCATTGTAACGTTGAATGACTATTTAAATGCGTGGGTAGGCAAGGGGTCCACATCAAAGGGATAGTCACCCTTATCGAGGATGGTTATAGTTTTGAAATATCGGAGTCGGCGTATCACATTATATTTTGTTTAGAAAAATTATCTGCGATTATTACGGTCTGAAGCTTTTCTTTTGGTTTTACGAACTATTAAATTTTATACGAAAAATGGAACAATTTTTGTAGAGCTATTTTAGCGTAAAAACAGATTTTTTTATATAACGATTTTTGTAAACTGGTTGATCTATGGCGAGTTAATTTAATGGGGATACCATACAGGTGTGTCTCAATTTATACTCTGAAAATATACAAGGGATCAAAGTATCAAATAAGGTGACCTCGCAATGTTAAAAGTTTTTTATCTATTCATTCATTAGCAAAAATGTTTTGAGTTTTTTGATGTATTAAGGTCAATTATGTTTAAATGGCAACCTAAAAAAAACATTTTTCTCTATTAGCAACAAAAAATAACAGACCAAATGAAGAATTAAATTCAGTATTTTAATGCGAGAGCGTAGTAGAATGTAAATTTGAAATGGATCATTAAACAGGGTGGTAAAGTTCAGATAAAGTTTTTTTACAATAGATAGTAGTAGGGTAGTGAAGTAGTACTACAGAAGTAAGGTTATTTACAGGTAGTTTATTAGAATAATAAATATAATAATAATTATACATGATTATAATTATACGGATGTGCAGATAATTGATATATAAATTATTCTAAAATCAAGTAAATAAAAACAAGTAGATATAATATGAATTGTAATTGTAATAAATATTACTATTTTAAAAAATCTACTATCTGCAAGACCACTTCAAATGAACATTTTAGTCGTCATCGGAGTAATCAGATGAACTATAGTCGCTGGAGACCAGAGAAATAATACGGTGCTCTATAATATTTTCTAGCATTTTATCAGCTTACCACATTCTTTCTTCGATTTCAATCACATGTTCGATTAACTTGCTCGATTTTTCGCAATCCACTGTCTTTACTCCCCCTTGCAAGAGGGTTTCACTTTCAGTTGCCCCATACCATTTTATGAGGTTTAATTCACAGTGATATGGCGGAAGGCGACGTACTAGTATACTTCGTTTTGAAGCGATTTAGTCGACAACAAATTTCGTACAAAAAGGATTCAAGTTTAGAATCTACAGTAGTTCCTGTTTCAGCATATATTTCTAATAGTGGTTGCCATTTAAAGTGAATGTAACTGACCTAGGAGAAATAAGATCGAACATATGCTGAAAGTAATCTTCAATTTCTTACAGCTCGTTTTGATTGAAATGCTACTTTGCGTAAATTCCTGTTTTCACTTCGAAACTGTGTAATTGCTCTTAAATATCGTCGACGTCAGCAGATAAAACTGATTTTTTGTTATGAGCTTTTTCGTAACGAAAATTCATTTCCTTCAAAGTTTTCCAAAATTTTTTCTTATGCATGAGTGGTATAAAATCATATTTTTGCATTTCAGTCATTATTTTGTCCAAGGTAGTATTCCTTTTCTTAATTGAAACGAGTATATTATTCTTCTGAGTAGTTTAATTCTGCTTTATAACAGTTTCTTTTCTTTTTGTACTTCTTTTTGGTGGCCTGAGTGGGCTACGTTTATGCCCGTGAAAAAGTCACTATATGGCTGACTGTCCACTCCAGTCATATTCGAGCACATTTCAACTATTTTTACAACTTAACAGTTTTGGTGGCAAAGAGCTTTGAACGCATTGAGAATAATAATTTTCTCAATTGTAGAAAGCGCAGTTTTAATATTATGTTTCTCAGCAAGACATTCAGAAACTGTAATTCTAATTTTAAGCACTAAGGCACGGGTCAACTACCTGTCAATCTCGGGGCCCTAGACTAGAGTAGGGTAGAGTTCTCCCAACCATATACCGTTTTTACATTTTTTATGGCTTTGACTTCGGAATGAGTTTAAGACCCGCCTGTTGTAAAGCGGAAGAGAACATTCTTTGCAGCACGCATACCACAAGCCAGGGCCGTATTTAAGATGCTAACCGACAAGAACTGTGCCGTGGGACTGTTGTATTTTAAGAGTAGGGAGATTTTCCTTGATTAAACTAAAATTAATTTATGTTCGTGTGCTTTTTATAAATCTTCCTAAAACAGTCCCTACTTGAGGTAGCTCGATGTCAAATTGAATTTGCCCATTAGATGGGTTGATCTCCTATATTAAAAACACATGAGAAAGCTTAACTGATTTCGAATTTAAGGGTTTAACATAGTGACTCTAAAATAATTTCCTAGGAAAGCAATAAAAATCTTATGCAGATATTTGATTTATCATGAATGTTTTCCCAGTTTGCTATTTGTTGATTTGGGGGGTTGTAGAAATCTAAGTATGCTGTCAATTTCGAGTTCAGTGACGAAAATGATTATTTTGATGTAGAATAACTATTTTCTAATAAATGTTCTAACATTTATTTGTAGCTAAATTTACTCCTTCATTTAAAACTAAGAATTGATTTTTCACTGCATGGACTAATAATAATTATGAATAATTTTCAAACTCTACCCAAATCCTTCAGCTTTCATCATTTGTATGCACGAAGCACCGAAGTATGGTTCTGGAACGTCATTGTGGACTTGCGAATCTATTTATTGAGGATTTTAAAGCGAAACCCAAGCGAGGTAGGCCTGCGGTGAGACCTTCATAAAAATTTACCAAAGTTGATAATCGGATTACGTCGTAGAAACGATATATCCTTTGGAGAACTCTACAACAATAATGATGCTCTCCCATTAAGAACCAAAACATAACCAAATAACTTCCGCATTAA